TATCGATGCATCGGATCGTCGGCTGGTGGATCGATGCATTGATACAAAATGATCATTATTTACACCCCTAGATATGGCATTATAATAACTCCCTACAATGGTCTTACTCCCCTCCTTGATGCACTTGCATGGCAGGTCATGGCTGCACTAAATCCTTGAAGGTTTGATGTTGTACCTGACACTAAGATAGCAGCAGATCCTAAAAGAGATCAACCGCTACAGGTTTTTTAAGGCTGATCCCAATGTCAATTATTTTGACTTCAGTCCAACTGATTCCCAATATGTGCTGTTCATGTTTTTGAGCCGTTGTAGGTACCAGATCTGCTCGGGTCCTGCTTCATGCCAGTGACGTTACACTGCATGATTGGCTGAACGTTGCCACATGATGTAAAATATTGTGGTTGCCCAGACAACGATAATAAAATCCTGCAGCGTCCGTGTGCCGAATCTGGAGCATCTCTAGCATCAGCGGGTCTAATGACCGATGACATTTTACCTGAATACTGAAAAAAAAAAATCTGTTTTTGGTGAACAAAGTAATTGTTAGACCATGATATAAAGGGGGAGAGCTGGAAAGCGCTGTGGCTAGTTTTACTCTTTTAGCCCGGTCAGCCATGTTAAGCTACTACTTTAAAATTCGTGCCATTCATTTTCTACAAGTAGAATAACTGTTTTATTTGTCTAACATCTCTACGAAATGTATTTTTTAAGATATCCAGTTTCTCCTCCCTGATCTTAACAAGAAAAAAGAATAAAAATAAGCTCCGATTTTTTTGTCACCTTGTTAAATGTCTTAGAACGCAGTATTTTCCCTCAAGACTGACAATGATTGTTTTCTACTTATGATCCCCAATGAAATGTAAAATATTAGCAAATATAGGTAATAATATGTTGAGACTCCAAAAGAGATCTGATCCTTTAGAAATAGGTGCAATACAGTTTGTCCGAGTGGAGTTGCCGATTGATGACGTCATAAGAAGGGGCGGGGCCCAGAGCTGATCGGACCGCCTGACCATATTGGAGCAAATATTGCTTTTTTTCCCCTCAATTTATATGATTACAAAACTACATATTGATAGAAAATCTTAAACAAGCCTCAATATAATAATAAAAAAATGTATTAGAACTAAATATTAACAATGGATAGAATATTGATTGAACTTATGGCTGTTGAATGCTCTAGTCTAACCAATGAATGAACTAATAATACTGATGCCCAAAAAACCCACTGATATCAGTCAGAACTGTCAGCCACTCGATTTATTGGTCTAACCATTACGCTTCTAAAAGATCCGATCATACATTTTTAAAATGTTCAGGCTCTGACTATATCCCACTGGCAACCAGACTTTGAAATTAATCATTAATGTGTGAGTTTGTACCAAAAGTCTCAAGATCATCAATAGTTAACAGGTTAATAAACACGAGGTGGTTTTTATTAACACAGAAATGCATTTGCTGCTGCATGAACTAGATCGCTGTTTCTCTTCTCTGTAATTGGTAATGTTTATGTCACCATTAGTTTTGCATTTTCTTGGTTTCCTTGTGTGACTCATGACACTTTTGTCATACTACTGTGTGGGTCTGACCAATGCAGCCTCAGAATCACGAGGGGGTTGTATTCACTTCAGTGTGCTGTAGTTGATACAGACATCATAGGGCCCTATTTTTTATCTAATCATACGCTCAGATCAAATCCAGGATGTTTTAGGATTAGAGTCCTGCAAGTTGTGAGCTGGAGCCGATTGGACTTTACTGTGCAGAATATCCCAGAGATGCTTGAATTGATTGGGTTCTGAGAATTTTCTGGTCGCTGTTGCTTTGTTTTGTGGCGGAAATGGGTCAGCATTCCTTATATGCAGGAAACCTTGAAGCTCAGCATAATCTGAAAAATCTGTGTCAGCTTTCAACCTTGGTCCCTGACTTGGTTATAATGATATTATATATTTAACACAGATACTCTGCAAAGACAGGCTGGTTAAACTGTGCACAAATAAGAAATAACAGCCTTTAATAAATCAAGACATTCAAATAACAAAGATGCAAATCACACATTAGTGTCATGATTTTATTAAGAGCTCGGACCCACATACAGAGAGACCAATTCAGAGAGACCCAGGGAAAGGTTTAACAGGTTTATTTTGGAGACACTGCTCAACCGGAACTGAAAGGTGAGAGGGAAGACACTGCGGTTAGTTCGGGCTCAGTAGGAAATTTGATTCTCGAACTTGACGAGGAGAATTTGGTAGATAACTCATGTTTCCAGAGAAGTAGCTGACCTTTAGACTCCATTCAGTGTGCTGAGTTGCAGTGTTTGTCTAATTCGGTGGAGGGCGGACAGGGTTTACCCAGAATGCAGTTGTTTGTTGGCGAACAGTGAAGCTGACTGCAACTCAGATTTCCTGCGGTACTTGGAACGGGTCGTAGTGGAGATGAATTCTTTTCCCAGTGTGAAGCTCAAATGATCTCTTGATGGAAAGTGGGTTCAAACCTCCAGTTTGAATCCTAAACTCAGCTTGAAGCACAGATGTTCCTTCCAGGGAGAGAAGGTCTGAAAAATCCAGTTTGCAGAATGACTTCCTGCCCGAGAGGCAAAGACAAAAACAAGATTAAAACTAAGGTTGACAAGAACTCAGCAAAACTCAGCTTGGCTAGAGTACCCAAAACTGGCAAACACTCTGGCGTTAAGGTAGTGGCAGTCAGCAGCTTAAGAGCACTCCGTTAATGAGGTAACTCACAGCAAGTGTGTAGGGAGGTGGAACACAACCAGGCGCCTCCTGGTGGAGGAAGGGAGACAAATACAGAAAAAACACATACACAGACAGGAATCCTGACAATTACACTTTTACAGAAGATCTCATATGAATATATTAGACTCAATATTTGTGCTTGTTTATTCATTAAAAGGTTTAAAAATATATAATTTTGATGCGGCTGTATGTAGCTGTGGCTGAAAAAGCTGTGTCTGCAGTGCCAGTTGCAGAGGTAACCCCCAAACCTTGTGATGGACCTCAGCAGTAAGGGATGCTGTCAAGCTAAAGAAGGGGTCATATTGAGCCTGTTTTAACTCTTAAGGCAGCAATCAGGTATTCTGGGGCCAAGTATGCCGCTGCCCAGATGGTTGCAGAGACAAATATTTGAAACTGGGAGGGGTTTAGAGAAACTATGTGGAAAAGCTGTCGGTGAGCCCCAAAGGGATTCTGGCAAACTGTCCGACACCCATGGAGGGGTAGGCAGTGCTTTACCAACACTGTTTTTAATGGGAGTTAAGACCTGCTGACCCTGGATGAGGACATTTTCAAATGGCAGAAGGAATACTGGGAGGATCTCCTAAACCTGTTTAACAGGTCTTGTGTGGCAAAAGAAGAGACGGGGTGCTCAGTGCCTGATTTGTTTCCTCACTAAGGCTGATGTTACCAAGCTGGTCATAAAACTCCATGTAGCAAGGCTTCAGGGTGAAGGAGATCACCTTGAACACCTCAGATCTCTGGATGTTGCCGGAGTGTCTGACACGTGTCTTCAGCATCCCATGGCGAGGAGAGTGCCCTTTGACTCGCAGACTGGGATGGTTGTTCCCTTCCATAAGAAGTAATGCTCTGTGAAAAGCAATGCCCATTGC